AAAGCTAAAGTCTAAAACTGTTGCAATCAGTATATAAAACATCAAACATGTGTCTAAGCAGCTAAATGAAGAATGGAAACTCCCAATGTTCATTCTCAGTCTTATCAGAATAAATGTGTTGCAGTTTTATCTTACTCAACACAGAACCGAGTTAACACAGAGTTTCGTTCTCTTAATTGTGTGTTTTAAAAGATACAACAACTTGTCTTTGCAATTTTATTTACTGATCCGAGCTCGTCCCCCTCAATAAGGAAGTTATAACAATTTACAATGCTGGGTTATTAGTATCAGTGTTTGACATGTCTGCGAAAAGATTCCTGATTTACACACAACCAGCGTTTGCTAAAATATCCAAAAGATGTGTTTGACACAGAAAAGCTAATGTTCCAGTTGTGTACACTTTCCACATGCTTCCTAATGAAGGTTAGTTTTCAAAACATGGTCAGAAACAACTTCCTCTGGCTGTAAAGTGTTTGTGGTGCATCATGTTCTGATCAGGGGATAATGATTGTCTACTGGTAATAAAAGAGTTGCCTCACCTCCATAAGAACCTGTCGACAGGCTCCACACGGCCCAACAAACTGATCTTTGATGTCGCTGTGTGGAGGAGACAGTAAATGCATCAGAATATGTGTCTGGGGATCTTTTCATGTGCCGACAGGGCCACAGAGTCTCACCATGTCACAGCGATGGCCGTGAACTCTCTGTGTCCCTCCACCACAGCTCTCTGGATGGCCGTCCGCTCAGCACACACTGTCAGACCATAGGAGGCGTTCTCCACATTACAGCCTGGGCCACAATTAAAGAAGAACAAGTGTTCACACTCTTTACCTTTAAATTTCCTTCTTATATATTTACCTATATCGATCTTTCACATGTATTTCTAAATCATTTTGCTACTTGTGCAATGAATGTGCAAGTTGATTGCAGTAATGCAGTTGATGCAGTAATTTTACTCTATTCTATTACTAGTGTATATTGCATTACTTTGTTTGTAAGTGGTATTTTGATACTGTAGTATATGTGGAGCATAATTTAACTATTTGTG